TACTACTACTACTACTACTACTACTACTACTACTACTACTACTACTACTACTACTACACACGCACACACACACACCCCACACCAGAATGAGGTCCATCAAATTAAAAGAGTTATGGCAATGGCTTAATATTGATATCCGAGGACAATGAGACAACCATTTTCCCTAGTTATCACCACCCAAAGAGTGACGCCATAGTAGCCATTCTCACCTACGGTTTAACTGCTCCATTTGTTGTATGGAATTGGATCTCTGAAGTATCTGTGGGGCGGGGGGAGCAGTGGGCCTCTGCCAGGTTGTTGTTCTGTTTACATGATCCACATAGAATATTCTTCCATGGCTGTCGATCCGAGCCTCCCAATCTAAAGAGCAGCAATGTAACAAGAATTTTTAGGTGGTAAGACTATAATTGTGTTTACTGAGTTTAGCACGTGTTTCCTAAGACTTACATACTGTAATTTTGTATTTATAATCATACACCTCTTTGTATAACTTCCCCTTAGAGATTCCAGAATCTTTTTTTGGTGACAGCTTATTAAGTATATCCTAGCCAGGACACAAACTTTTAAAAGTATCTCCAAATTTACCTGTCTTTCCTTAGAATAAAGGACTTGAAAATTCAATAGTATGTAGATACATATCTTACATATAGTTTTCATTATTATTCATTTATTTTTGACATTCTTTTCTTTTTAAATTTTGAGTTCCAAATTCTCTCCTTCTCTCCCACCCCCTCACCCACTGAGAAGACAAGCAATATGACACCAATTATACACCATATATACTTTATAATAATGTCTACATTTAAAAAGCAGAATCAGTATGTGCACATTTATATTATGGTACATAAATTGAGTATTGGTTTCCTTTATTTGTATTTACAATTATTTTGTTCAAAGAGTCTGTAAATCTATAAATTTTCCAGCCCTGAGGAAGGACCAATAGTTAGCCATCATAGGTAGGACCAACTTCTCTACATATGTTGAGTAGCTCATCGTAGAATTTCATCACCAAAAGGACTGTGATCTCTGCAGTCCAATGATCATCCAGTGCATATTCATTCATAATCTAGTCACTGCTACATTCCAAACAGCAAGAATTTTCTAGAATGGGGCAATTTCTCTATCTACCTATAAAGTTTCCATATATTCTCCCTCTCTACCTTTAAAAAATGATAAAAATTTGGCTAAGCAATTATGCTTTCTTTGACACTCAAAGTAGATTAATATTCTGTCAGATATCCCCCTGCTCTGAAAATTTATGTGAAAAATTTGCTTACTAAAATATACACATAAAACAAAGCCAATGTATGATATATTTATAACTTCCTGAGATTTGCTTTTCCCCCCTTAAATTTCTGGGGCCATTTTTTATCAATCTAAAGAGCAGCAATGTAACAAGAATTTTTAGGTGGATAGATAGATATGACACTGACTCACTCTCTCTCTCTCTCTCTCTCTCTCTCTCTCTCTCTGTCTTTCTCTCTCTGTCTTTCTCTCTCTGTCTCTCTCTCCAGAAAAGGACCACTCAACACTGGCTGCAATCTATGTACTGGACAAAACTAAGGGGGAAGGCCTTCTCCTAAAGAGAGTATTAATAGAATACTAACATATCCTTACACACCAGGCTTCGAATCAAACAACTGGAAGTATTCTCACTCTACTTTAACTGTTGTATCCTTCAAATTTCACCATTTTAATCATGTGTATATGGTCAGACTAAGAGTCTATGAGGTTGATCTCAAAATAAAATTAATGGGAAATAATTATTAACACAGGCTAGGATGTGTCTTATCAGGGATCAGATACCTAACATAGGACCTATTACTAAATATTAAGAAATGCTTAGAAATGTTTGCAATTTCCCTTTAGATTTGTTACTATTATTAATGATGATAATACTATCCTCTATGTATATATGATCCTTTACTATTTACATGCACTTTCATACACACTTTCTCATTTGGTCCTTTTAACACATAACTCTGAGAATTTATTGCTCCCATATTCCAATGATTCTTAGAGAGATTGTAACTTACCTAATATTACACAGATGATAAGTAGAAGAATCTACAACATACTACCTCATTTCATTGGCTGTCATTTTACATTTTAAGATTGTGGTAATAAAAATATTCGCAAAGATGTTTTCCTTTTTTTTGGTTCAAACATTTATCCCTAGAGAGATAGCCTAGGGGAAGCAGTCTTCCCAATGAAGATTCTCCATAGATAAAACCTTAGCATAATAATTGCCAATCTTAGCATCAAGGTTTTCTAAATAGGATAGCAGATAATGGGTACTTTGAAGATGTAATACTCAGAAGACCATGAATTATTTGAGAAAGTAGTGTTCAAATTACTAAGTGGATGTATATATTAAGGCAGGTAAAATTGGTGTTACTTGGGATATGGATGAAGACTGGAAGAATTATGTTGCTATATAGACTGAATAGTTCAGAGCCCCTATAATTTTGACAAAATTTAGAGTTCCTTGCCCATCTTTTACTAAAATTATCTTGATAAGTACTGAATAGAAAAATTGCCTGAAACCTTGGAAATCAGGAAATTCATTTTCTAATAACCAGCTCTCTTATAGACATATGATGTTAAAATTAGACAAGAAGGTTTGAAATTCAAGATCTTTACATTTATTTCTTCATTCTGCCACATTTTGAGATTGGATATTTAGTCTTTTGGGAAAAAATGTGATTAATAATATTTTCAAAGTTAGCCAGGATACATTCATTTTTCTTTTTGGTCTTAGGAATGCCACAATGACCATTTTATTAACACTGCTTAATCTAGCCTTTTTGAACTATTAACAACTGACATTTTTAAGGCACATCACACTTACAAAGTGCTTTCACATACTTTTAATCTCATTGAATCTAACAATCAGTACAGGGCTTCATCTCCTTATAGTGAAAGAATTTAGGGACTCTTCCAGCTGAAGAGAAGATGTGAATTAGCTAGAGGAATAGGTAGTTTTATTGTTCAGAGGAGTAAAATCAAATAAGTTTGAGAAATGAAATTACCCATTTGGGAAAGAATTTGGAGGGAACATGACACAGAAGGATAAGTTAATTATTGTTGGATGGCAAAAACATTATCAAATCAGGCTCCACAGATGATTCCTAACTGGATTTGAACTTGGGGGAAAATTGGGCAAAAGGACAATTTGACCAGGAATTTGGAGTGGAATGTCATTATATGTAGTTTTGTTTGAACATAATTACTGGTAAGCTTATACTGATTCCTGGTCAAATTTCTTTGAAATACCATGGAACATTAGAATGGAAAGGGACTTTAGAACTGATTTAGTCTAATCCCTGCATTCTACAGGTGATGAAACTGAGTCTTGGAGAGATATAAGTGGTTTGGCCAGGGTTACACAGGAAATTGATGTCAGGGCCAAGACTCAAATGCAGGTGTGACTTTGGGCAGGTCACTTTACATCTCTGGGCATCAATTTCCTCATCTGTAAAATGAGGTGGTTGGATTAATGAATGATCTCTAAGAGCTCTCCTAGCTCATGGATATATGATTTTAAGTTTTCCTTGACTCTCAGACTAGTGTTCATTACACAAGCCACCCCACATAGCTCTCTGAGGCTTCAGACCATGAACCAACAGCACAACCAACTCTGCTGAATCAATGCAGTGTCCCTGTTGAATATTCCTGTATTTTTCTCCTACTATGGCTAAGTAAAGCACCATTTGTTAACTGAGATACCTAGGTGGCACAATGGATACAGTGTTGGGCCTGGAGTTAGGATAATCTGAGTTCAAGTCCCTCCTGAGACATATACTAGCTGTGTGACCCTAGTCAAGTCACTTAATTTTTGTCGGCTTCTGGTTCCTCACCTGTAAAATGGAGGTAATAATAGCACCCACCTCTCGTGTTTGTTGTGAAGATCAAATGAGATAATGTTTATAAAGTGCTTAGCATAGTACTTGGTACATGGTAGGCACTTAATACATGCTATTTCCCTCCTTGTCACATGACCTATGGACATTTTATTTTGTTCCACTACCACAACATCAGTGTGAGTCAGGCACAGTCCATTCCAGACCGTCACCTGAATTTCTTGTTCCTATGGATCTTATAGAGGGGATCTGCATGCCAATGGTTCTTTAGTAATTATAGTAGGTTTGTACCCTGCTAATTAGAGAGAGGAATTCCACAAAGGGTTAATACTAGACTCATTCTGAAAACAGATTTGGGAATGAGATTTACACTAGGAAATTTCTTTTTTTTACAGAATGAGAATGGGAAAATGGGAAGTATCAATGAGTAAAACAGGGTTAGGGTCTGCATTTGTGGTTTCACTGACATAGAAAACTGCCCCATGAGGAAATGCCCTCTATCAATGTAGGTCAGTCAGTACTTTTTCTGCAACTTAAAGTCTCAGAGTTGCCTAGAACACCAGGAACTTATGTGACGTGTCTGAGGTTACAAAGTCAATATTTGTTAGAAGCAGGAAGTTAGTAAAACAATATTTTTAACTCTTCCTTAATGGAGAGAGGAAGTAGGTCAATATGTTCAAGCTTATCCTGGCGGCAGCTATAGCACCGCAAAGTTGAACAGGCCCAGACTTGAGGCAGACTACAGCTCTGGACTTAACTCTATCATGGACTTGCTACCTAAATTTGGGCAAAACACTTCACTTTTTCTAAGCCTCAGTAATAGAAGTCTTTCCAGTTCTTAACATATAATTCTATGATTCTAGTGTCAAAATAATCACAATAATTTAAGGAATGATTTCCCACTCTGCCCTTCCCCCAAATCACCATATAGAAAGATTCAATACCATCTGATTTTTTACAACTGAAATTAGACTTGTGGAATTTGGCCCCAAAGAAGAAACATGAGAAAACACCTCCCCCCTACTACTTTGCAGGGGTCATAGTGGTAACTAAATGCATATTCTTCAGATGGAACTCACATCCATTACCTAACACATCAATTCTTTCAAGATGGCACCAGATTTGAAAGTTATTTGAATCCTACCAACTCAGATAAGAATGAATATTTATGTTGCAAGTAACAGAAGTCATCCACAGAAATACAGCTGTACATATGGCCAACCCCAGAAAAGTAAAACTGTTTAAAATAAGTTCAGGACAGATCCATTCAAAGCCAAAACAAATTCCCAGAAGGAAATGAGCTTGTCCATTTTCTTCCACCCTTGTCTTTGTGATACCCTCAAACTAAACATTTGTCTCTACAACAATATTTTAGTGGCTTCCCTGGACCTGCACTGTCTCTAGCCACCAGCCTTCAAAATGAGAGGGCAATTCTTACTCTTGCCACATTCACACTAGAGAATCACCCTCCAGCAATTTCACTGTGAAGTACTAGATGGTGGTATAGCATGTAAGCCAGAAACTTCCTTATTTTCTAGGAACCATAAGGATTTCTTTCAAACAGTAGTTTGAAGTAAATAAATGTTTGTTGAATTGAAGTGGCCAATAGGCTCACAGGCACCATTACTGCTATTCAAAGTCAGAAGTGGGACAAGATTTTTGAGACCAAAATGGTAGGTCATCTTCTCAGCTTCCTATGGGTCAAAGTTTACTATCTCATAGCCTGATATGAGGGAGTGGAGAGCAGGACTGAAAAAGCTGCTTTAAGTAACAAGATACCAAGCAACTACAAAGACAAACCATGAAATGGAACCCCGTAGTAGCATGTTCAATTAGAAAACGAACTCCTGAAAGCGTGAGTTAAAAAATCTTTCAGGAACTGTTGTGATCTCTCCAAGGTCTTACCCAACTATATATTAGCGTGTAAACTTTAGACAAAGGGACATGGAAGTGATTTTCCTGTAAGTTAAAAGAAAAATAAAAAAGCAAGGTGTGGGTAAGTTAGCGATCATGATGATCAGGGCCTTCCCACAGAAGTTCTGAGATAACAGGCAGCACAGATTGTCACAGGAGGTAGTGAAGGAAGGAAAGAAGGAAATAAACATTTATTAAGCGTCTACCATAAGTAACACACTATGCCAAGTGCTTGACAAACTCATTTGTAAAGCTCATTTGATCCTCACAACAACCCTGGGAGGTAGATGTTATTATTATCCTAATTTAAAGTTGAGAAAACTGAGGCAGGAAGAGGTTATGACTTGCCTGAGACCACACAGTTAGCAAGTGTCTGAGGAAGGATTTGAACTCACATCTTCCTGATGTAAACAGAGTCTTGCTGTGTATGTTTGATTCAGTAGAGTGGGTGTCTTTAAATACACCATTGTAAAACCAGGCACTGATAAAGCCCATTGGAATTCAAATGGAACTACTTGACCATGCCGTAAACTCAAATCACTCTGGCTCTCATTGATTGGTCAACAGTAGGTCCCAATCCAAGCTTCACTTGGTCATTGTTTGAGTTTTGATGGCTCAGAGTAAGTGTAAATAGCAATAGTTTCCATTCTGGCCAGAAACCTTGGGTCTTCCCCTCCCAGTTTGACCCAGAAAGACCACAGGCTCTTAAAAAGACCAAGGTCTCCTACTGCATCTGGGGTCATCTCTAGTTGTCCTGATCTACTTCTTGCCACTAGACTCAGATGACCGTGGAGGAGAGAGTGAGGCTGATGACTTTGCACAGTTCTGCTTCACTTCAATCCAAGTCACTTGCAAGTCAAGACATCACCCTCCTGATGTCATTGATCCTCTTCCAGAACAAAGGACAAACAACATATTAAACATACTTCCAGTTGTAATGGGGTCTGGGGGCATGGGCCTTAAGGGCCATGCTATGGAACCTTGAATACCTTAATAAATATTTGTTAAGTTGAAGTTTGCCTACAATCAGAGAGGCTCACAAGACTAATTTTTTTTTTGTAAAAAAAAAATAGTACAAGTTAACACTCTGCTTCTAGATAAGCTTTTAAAGGCTTATCTTCATTTGTCTTCATCCATCAACCCTGGTACTTCACCTTTTAATTTCAGATCAGGTAATACTAATAAACTGACATCCAATGTTGGTAAACAAATACAATCACTGACATCTTAATCTGAGCCTCTCAGGTTCCCCTTAAGGTGGTACACAAAGAAGTAAAACATCATGGGACTCAGAACGGTAGGGCTCAACTTTGAAGAAATGGTTAGTCATGGTGACTGACCAGTTAGGAAAAGGCAGAGAATTCACTGGGGGACAGAACAGAGAGTTAGCAAGGATAGGCAAGTGATGAAAACAGACAGAAAAGAACTTTGTGAGGGTACTGGAAACCATGTGGGTAAAAAGAGGAAAGAGTTTAATGGAAATAGACATACTCAAACTACAATATTCAACACGTTTAAAACTGAGATGAAGCATTGATTTGAAAATCATATCTCCTACATGGTTGTGTTCCTGGTGCTTAACACAGTACCTGGCACACAGTAAGTGCCTAATAAATTTTTTTTAACTGACTATTCACAAAAATCTTTGAAGGTTTTCTCTAACACATTACCTCACAAAATGAAAAACCACCAACACCACTGCCAAGCCTGTAGAGAATTTATTAGCATCAAAAATTTGTTGTTGTTCAGTCATTTTTCAGTTGTGTCTAACTCTTTGTGACACCATTTGGGGTTTTCCAGCTCATTTTACAGATGAGGAAACTGAGGCAAACAGGGTTAAGTGACTTGCCCAGGGTCACATAGCTAATAAGTGTCTGAGGCCATTTTTGAATTTAAGAAAAAGGGTCTTCCTGACCAGCAATCTATTTATTATGCCACCAGCATTAAAAATGGGTACATTTATAAAAAGTCATTCAAAAACCTATTTTGAATTATGCTCCTGACTCTGGGCATGTGGAACCTTAAGGCAACTACTTATATCATGCCCCTATGCTAGATCTGCCTAGACCTGAAATGCACACAATTTCCAAAATGCACATGCTGCTTAGGCTTCAACAATATGGATTTAAAAAAATTCTTATAATTAGTCAAAATTGTTCCCCTCTGTGGTCTAATAAGCTATTTTCTTCTTCTTTTTTAACTTCACTTAAAGCTAATAAAAGTAATTGGCACTTTGTTAGAAAAGAATCCCTTCAAGTAAGTCAGGTAATAGAATCTTTCCTTTGCAGTGTGTTTCAGAGAAAGAACATGAGATCTGGAGTCAGCTGACTTAGCTTAGACCCCCCCATTCTAACATTTACTACTAACATGACCTAGGCCAAATAATTTTTACCTCTTTAGGCCAAAATTTCCTCACTTCTGAACTGAAGAGTTCAGACTAGATGATTTCTAAGGTTTTCGACCCCTCTCCCCCATCTATGATCTTATGATATGTTACACATAATACAGGATTTACAATTTGGCAGGCTTTAAAAACCACAACAATAAAAATTATAAATGTGGCTAAGAGGATATCAGTTGCCTACATACTTAATAATAATTAGAAGAATAGCTAATATTTACACAGTGCTTTAAAGTTTATGAAGCACTTTACAAATATCTGATTTGACCCTCACAACAACACTGGGAAGTGGACGATATTATTATACCCATTTTATAGATGAGAAAGCTGAGGCAGACAGAAATTAAGTGACTTACCCACTTAATTAGGGTCATACAACTAGTAAGTGTCTGAGGCAGAATTTGAATTCAGGTCTTCCTAACTCCAGGTCTAGCACTCCATCCACTGTACCCTATCCTTATTGTATCTAGGTTATGGTAACTAGGGTTACTTATTAATCTTACTTACAAATCTACATACACAAAACAAAACAAAAAATAGCTAAAAGGCTGTTTCCTGATGTTCTAATTCATCTTGTCCTGAAATTGCATCCATAAATCACCCAGGAATATATTCTTTCTTTCTCAATGTAAACAGTAAGGAAATAATTTTTCCATTTGCCACTAATAACAATAGTTTAAGACATTAAACTAGTCTTTTGTGGAGAAGAGAGGACAGGAGACGAGAGAGGAGAAGAAAAAGGAGAAGGGAGGAAGGGAAAGAAGGAAGGGGAAGGGAGGTAAGAGAATAGCTATTTAAAAAGAATACAAAACACTTCAAAGCTGATATCAAGGAAATTTCCATTACTCTGAATAATAAATAACCTAAAGTAATGACAACATACAAGCTTTGTTCACTACTTCAAATGCAAGCATAGTCAGTTTTTTCATGCCTTGATAGAGTTCATATGGCACTATTCATCTTTTGTCTAGACAGTACACACACAACTTCCATCCAAGTGTCTGTTTAAATATGTGTCACATGGTGTGGTGCTAGCCTGTTACCCTCTTTTTTTTTACATTTTAATCTATTTTTTCTTTTTGTTTTTAAATAGCAGAGATTTTAGATCATCACCATCCTGCCAAAAACACATGTAAAGCAGGGTAAGTAGAGAGGCTGAATCATTAGAAGAAAAAGCAATGAGGATAAAGGGATTGTTCGTTGTATTTTTAGAGAAGCAATATTTACTGAACTAGAACTTTGCTGGTGGTATTTTTAAAATTCCTTCCTAAATGTTCAGTGATAATGTTCTGTCCTTACATAATTTGATTTGCCAAAGGAGCCCCAGGAGTTTTAATAGTATATTAAATTGCATCTGGATAATGGTTAGTCAAGGGCCTCATTCACTCATTCACTGACGAATGCAGTTTGTGTTAACACTTCCGACATCCATACGTCTCAATCATCTTTCCTTTATGCTATAAGTATTTGTATTCCTGTCCATAAAGAAAACAACAATAACAATAACAAAAAATCCCATTTCAAAGCTCTAGTTTCAGTGGCTACTTATCAAATTTCATTACTGTGGCCCAGAATGGGTCATAGATTTAAAACTGGAATGAGTCTACACCTCCCTAGGAAAAATGACATAACATTATTTGGAGGCTAACAAACTTCATTTGGGCATTAAACATCCAAGAAAAAGAATAGATTTCCATTGTCTTCCAAATGTCCAGACTGCCTGCATCTGTTCAGCTCAGCATCACTACATTATTATTCCCTTGGCACTCAAATTGCAAGAAAAGTTTCACTTCTCGACTTTAGCACGTAACAGTAAAAGAAAGGAGTCCTAACCTCTATCTCAAGAATAAATACCCTGATTCTTTCTCCTTAGGGTCCCCTGCATCAGTGTCTTAGATGACATGTACAGGTCTACCCTGTTATCCTTGCAGCTGCTTCTACCTTGAACCCTTTGATTAAAAGGTGAGCCCTTTAGTTAACAGGTCCTCACTTGGTGGCAGAGCCTCGTCCACCCTCTGGTATCGGCTAACATCCTGACGTACTGAAGGTAGCGATCGCAATGGCTGGTGGCCGTTGGCTTGAGAACCTAGGATTAAAGGTAAAAAGTTATCTGGGTATTATCTTTTCCTTTCAGTGCTAAAATACCCTGTAAAATGTACCTGATTTTTTTTCCTCCCTCTAGTTTTACCTCCTAGGTAAAGACTTGGGTAACAGATCTGCATGCTTATAAAGTAGAAGTGACCCTACACAGACATGCACATGAGCCACCTCCCATCACCCCAAGACAGGCCTCTATCCCAACACTTTGAGAAGCTTTAAAATAACAATTCCTAACATAGAGTGAATAGAAATGGAAGAAGGAATGAGGTGAATAATTTAGGTAGGAATCAAATAAACTTCAATATAAGCTACCTTTTCCTAGGAAAAAAGCCCAGGTGGAGTAGACGTTTGCTATTTTAGACATTTGATGAAAGTTTTCCTTTGATTTTGTTAATCTAGCAACAATAAAACACTTAGAAATGTCCTATTCTACTTTGTGCTACTATATAGCTGGTCTCCTATATAGCATGTTCACTTTGAGAAAGCCAAAGTTTTATTTGCAAACTGAGGTCTTAAATTGCCTTTTGGCCAACAAACTAGCATTATTTATTCTTCAAGTGTAATCATGCTCAGCAATCTGGTTGACATTTCTTATGCTGCAGGTGGCAAGAAACAGAGAAATATTTTATTCAAAGCACATGCTTAGGCTTTCATTTCCAAGGCCATATTTTTACAAAGATAGAACTTCACGGTTCTTGTAAGGCTCTGAGGACTAATTACGCTGCTATTGTAACCAGGCTGCTTGTTTCAGATTAAACCCTCCTCCTCCCCCCATTTCCATAATACACTTTCTTCTTCCTAATTAAAGCAATTGCATATCATAGATCTTGGTTGAGGTCTGTTATGTATGACTTCAGAATTTCCTTTGGCAGACTAAGAAATTCCTATCCCCAGTTTGGGGAAATTTCCCTGCACATAGCCACTATATATTACAAAGCCTCATTACAGTATAGACAACCCTGAATTCTTAAAGGCTACACTAGTGTCCCATGATCTCCTTCCAGTCCTACCAAGTTGAAAGGGCTTTTGAATGTGAGTCTAACAAGAGACTGTGTACCTGCCAGTTCAGTTCAGAGAGGTTTATCATCGACTGGTCATGGGATGATAAATTGTGTCCAAGACAACTTAGGGGGATTATTTATTAAGGTGTGTGGGAGAAGAGAGGGGAAGCAATGATGGTAAATCGTTTTCACCCAAACATCATAAATATAAAGTATTGTATTGAAATAAATACTCTGCTGCATTAGTACTATATTATATGTCTGATGGACAATCATTAATTAGCCTTTTATCCATTAGCAACAGTAGGCAAGCTACTTGCAAATATTAAACTTAAGACGAAAGGATTCTCTATGAACGGATATATTTCAGTGAAAACTTTACTAATTACTCAGTAGTTCCACTAACACCATTTGAAAATCATTTGCTCCTGGTTTTACCCATTATTGTTACCTCCAGTAGCTCCTTCAGCCTGAGCAGTGGCCCCTTCACAAGCTTCTTGGGCATCTCCGGTGTCTTCTTCACGTGATTCATTCTCCACAGTAGCCTGAAGACTGCTCCTCCTCTGCCAGATTTCCCCCATCTCCTCTCCATCAGGCACGGCAGGCATTTCTGCTGCCTGCCCTTCCTCCTGACCACTGGGTACCCTGACCACAGGCAAAGACCCAGGGGTGCATACAGAATCCTGTGACCCCACAGCAGGGCCACTGTTGGCAGGAGATGAAGCACAGGCTCCCTCTTCTTCTTCCTGAGATGAAAAGGCTGGCGTTTCAGGAAACCGGGCACTCTCCAGGGAAGAGCACCGGGTATCCACAGAAGACAGTTGTGTGGTAACACTCTCATTGCAGGAACTATCAGCCCCTTCCACATCGCTCTCTCCCTCTGGCCTGGTGCTGGCCTCACTGACGCTCTCAGTCCGGGCGGGGTCGCTAGGCTCTGTTTCAGACGATACCTGGGAAGGTTCAGAGCCTTGGTCAACAGACTCAGTTTCACTGATGGCCCTTCTGCTTTCTCCTGGAATATCCAAATTTCCTGGGTCTGCATCACTGGTAGGCTGTTCGCCCTCTTGTGAGTCACATAATTCACCATTGCCTTGCTCGGCACTTGGTTGAGGTTCCTGGCCATTTTCACCCTCTTCTACAGCTGCATCTGAAATGGAGCAACTGTCAGGAACCTCTAGCAGTTCCTCCTCCTGCTTATTCTCCATTGAAGCAGCTTCAGCTGCTGGGACTTCCTCCCCCTCGGCAGGGTTGGTGTCTGGCTTTGCCTGACTCATTGAGCTCCCTTCGTCAATTCGTGAAGCACTACTAAACATTACTAACCCCCCTTCCTCTTCCAAGGAAGAAGGATAACCTAGATCTTGCTGAAACTCATGATCCTCTTCATCAGAGTCAATATGAAGCATGGCATTGAGTCTGGTATCAGTGGGGAAACTACTCCTTAGTTTGGGAGAAGCTCCAAGAGATCTCTCAGCACAGGCGGATGTCCCAGGCCTGGAATGACCATTGTGTTCAATGGCATCTAGATAATCATTCAGTGAATCCTGCCGTCCTCTGGGAGGGGAGGTCCTGGAAGAACTAGAGGTTAGTTCCTCCGGGTCTATTTCCATAGTAGAGCTAGTCCTAAAGGAATGCTTTGGAGTGCCATCTGGAGCACTCTCCTCAGAGACTGGACCATTAGAACAGACTGGAGGGGAGTCATGATGTCCCCCTGGCATGTCCTCATCATCAGAGGGACTCCCCAGGTCTCCGTTCACAGAATTCACTCCGAGGATGGTGCCAACTGCTTCTGGCGAAGCATCTAAATAGAAACACAATATTTGGAAAGTAAATATATGCAATTAGTTTGCCCTAATCACAGGGCATGTCAGCAGAACTCAAGTAACCCTTATTGCATTCAATTTAATTAAAGAAACAATGGAGGAGGAAAGGTTTATCTATATGCCCACAAATTCTGTTCCCATTGATGTTCATTAAACTCTTAGGACCAGCTAGTTTTCCCCTTAATTAGCACAAACAAACAAAAATCCACTCTAGATAAGTAGTAAAGACTTAATGACATCTTGGGTTACATGGCTTTTGTACTTTATTGAATACAATGTGTAAGACTTCCTAGTTGGCCCTTTAGTACAAAAGGAAGACGACAGAAGAAACTACTCCCAAAGCAGCCCCTTGAGAGTCTATGAAAAGTGGAAGCAACGTACATGACAATGGCATTAAAAAATTAAGGGTGACTATGAGGGAGGACACAGCATGTTGCAGGGGACTCATAAATTAAATCTTACCCAATAGAACAAGACTAAATAGTCATAAAAATTTATTTTTTATTACCGTATGCATTGGCCATATATGTTGACAGGAACATTTGACCAACCCACTGGGGACTCTTCTCATCATTAATGAGTTGTAAAGGTTTTCCTACATACTAAACTCACTTAGTATACATCAAGCCAGGTTGATATGACAGCTGATATTTGATATTTGGAATATTCCTTGAAAAAACTATATCCTGATTTCAGAAGGTAGGCATGACCCAGATGCTTCTATGAAATTGATTTTAACATTTGCCTTGGTAAATTAATTTCTTCTGACAGTTCCCTTTCTTTGATGGAACTGCACAAATATAAAAGGATACTTTAAAGAAACTCAAGTGTTTCGTCTAATAGCATCTACTCACACAGATACCTCACCTTCATGAATAGAAGATGTAATCTCAACTTTGAATTGGAGGTACCCACTCACATGGTCAGCTGGGAGCCTTCTGCCAAGGTTGTAGCTGAGCATTTGATCACTGCAAAACAAACAAACAAACAAACAAAAGAAACGAATGGTGTTTTCCAGGATCTTTTATCCTCCTACTACAAGCCACATCTCAAATTCCATAAGCTTTAAACCAAGTTCCCCCATGATTTTTTGAGTCATGTGTTCATAAATTAAAGACTCAAAGACTGGTGTATACGACAACAGTACTATCAGTTTTTTTAATTGTTATCACTGGGTTTCAAACTGAAAAGCTAAAAGAAATCATGCTGTGGGCAAGAGAAATTGTTAATAAAAATAGAAAATAGAACACAGCATGAATATGGTATTTCCTTAGAAAGATAATAGATTATTTCTCTATTGCTAGTAAGTATTGGTAGGGTCTTTTGAAAGTCATTAGCTGCAAAACTGTGAAGGGTTTAGCTTTTTAGCATATTATAGAATAAGAATGGGCCTAGCTAATATCACTTTAACACTCCATATATTCAATAAGGAAAAAGCTAAAAATGATTCTATCTCATGTTGCACAGTCTGGGTGGCAGAGTGGAAAGATCACTGGACTAGGAACCAGAAAATTTGTCAATAAATTCTGGAACCATAGGAAAAATCCCTTACTTAACCAATCAATCAATCTACCAACCAACCAACCAATTAAGCACCTACTAAGCACTTACTATGTGCAGGTACTGTGCTAGGCATTAGGGATAGAAATACATAGCATAAAAAAATCCCTATTCTCAAAGGGCTTAAATTCTAATGGGGAAGACAAGAAGTACAGATGCACTGAGTCCCAAAAGTCTTAGTGCAGTTTTAAGCTTTAATCGCCTTTTTTTTTTGCTTTAATTTTAAAGCTTAAAACTGTGCAAAGACTTTTGTGTATAAGTATACACAGATAAACATAATTTGAATAAATACACAACAGTTAACTACAAAGTATTTTAGGAGGAAAGGCATTAACAGGTTTGATTTATCATCTGTAAAAGAAGTCGGATAGGCTCAATATTATTGTCCACTTCTATGATTCTTCAACACTCAAGTCCAATAAATTCAAGCCAGGTCTTTGCTACACTTAGATAACTTTTATTTTAGACTCAGATAGCTGATTCTTAAGTAAAGAAAGTGGTCAATAAACCAAATCATAATCATTTCTGCTCTCATACTGCCCTCTAATGGATAGTGCTAAAGAGGAAAAAAGTGAACAAGAACAGTTATATATCATTTGGGCTACATTAAAGAACTTACCTAAAACTAACTAATTAATGGCATTTTAAACTGTTCCTTAAAATTTTTCCCTACATAGAACTTTAGTTAATAATAATGATAATGGATATTCATCTAACACATTGATTACAGGGTGCAGAGTTAGAAAGGGAGGCAGGGATGTGGGGAGTGCTACAGGAGAGAATTCTGGGAAGTTTGTGTCTGGGTCGGGATGGTAAAGAATCTTCCTACCTCTGACTTCTAAATTGACCTCCTTAATACTCATGGCAGGCCTGGCTACCAAATACATAATAATAATAATAGTAATAACAATAATAATAACAATAGCATTTACATAACACTTTAAGGTTTGCAAATTGCTTTACAAATATTATCTCATTTGAGCCTCACAACCACCCTGGGAGGTAGGTACTTATATTACTCCCATTTTGAGGCAGATAAAGGTTAAGTGATTTTCCTAGGGTCACACAGCTAGTAATTGTCTGAGGTCACATCTGAATCCAGATTTTCTTGACTCTAGAACCACCACTGTCACATGAAGTCATAGATTCATGCCATCTGAGAACCAGAGAAGAGGCTCTTATTGTAAGAGGGAGCCTCAAAATGATCAGATTTTTCATTAAGCAAAGAAAAACCTCTATAGAGAGAACGTGCTGGGTTCATAGACTCATGATTTATAGTTTTAATTTCATGCTGTATACACTCCTTTCCATCATCCTCCACCCAAACTCGTCCACTGCCTGAAATGGCTCCTGGTTTCAAAGAGAGGTATTATAAAACATACTGGCACTTAATTGAGTCTCTCTTTTGATGTAATCGGAAGAATTCAATGCAATGAAAAGGGAAAGCTTTAGAGAAAAATTAGGGGGCAACCTGAATCACTTTGTTTAGGGAAACAAAATAAACTTTCCTGTTTGGGAAATATATGAGTTTGAGAGGTTATCCTGGACGTTAAAATTTCATTAGTTTAGAATTTATGACAACCTAGACAGAAGTTCATCTGTCATAGCTAGAGGGTTCAATACACAAGAGATCAAATGAAGTTATAGGGTATGAGAGTAGAGGATGTCAGTGAACTAGGAAACTGAGTTGTTTGAGAGGACATCAATGTTTATACTGAAGTCCATTATATTGAGGATCATTGATCTAGACTTACAAGGGACCATAGAACCCATCTAGACCAATCTCCTTATTTTACAGCTGAGGAAACTACGATCCAGGAAGGTTGAACTTTGTTTGAACTACTGCAACAGTTTCTTTCTTTAACTCCTTTCTTCTGTTTTTCTGCTTCCTCAAATTCATCCTGTAAGCTTTCAGTCAGACTGATGTCTACTTTAATCATCAGTTTCTTTCAAAATCCTTCAATGGCTCCCTATTGACTGCAAAATACAATCCAAATGCACCGACTGATGTTAAAGGCACAATCTGGGCTCAGACTATACCTCCAAACATAGAGTTGAGAGTTGACATACCTATAGCTTTACCAAACCCAAGAAGACCATGAAGGGAGATAACATGTAGCCCAGGCAATAGAGTGTTTAACCAAGGATAATATGTAGTAGAAATAGGGGATCATTCAGAACAATGAGAAGACTTGGATGAACCTTTCTCAACTTGCTGCCATGGATATGGGAAAAAGCTACTACTGAGCCTCACACTTTCTATTCCAAATGTATCTTTGTCCATCCTCTCCAGTCCTGTGTATGCCTTCTTCTTAGGTCCCTAATACACTGAATCGGGAGGAGGAGATGGCCTATACTATGCTCCTGATGGCCACTTCCAGAACCATCACTCAGTAACCTCTCCTCTTTTGAGGTTCATTCCATAGGTCTATACTAACTTTTTAGAATTTGGTGTAGTCATCAATCAGTCTCCCAGTCATTCTCCCTTATTTCTCAAAGAATTAAATTTATGGCTCTTGTGTCTTTTCCAAACCAAGCCCTGCCCTCATAGAACACAGTATAGCAGAAACAGCATTGGTTCTGGAGTCAGAAGACATGAGTTTAAACCCTACTACATGTGTGGGCAAGTCACAACTTTACCAGGACCTGTTTCCTAAGCTGTAAAATACCGAGATTGGTCTAGATGACTCCTGTGGTCCCTCATGAACTGATGATCCTACAATATAATGGGACTTCAGTTTAAACACTAATGTCCTCTCAAACAACTCGGTCTCCCAGTGCATGATATCCTCAACTCTCATGACCTATAACTTCATTCAATCTCAGTTATACTTGTCATTCCTTATATCCCATAATAGCTCATTGCTGAGTGATTGCTCTTTATCTTAAAGATTGAAATTCCCCTAAGTGATCATAATTTCCTTTTCTATTTTTCCCTTTAACTAAATCCTCACAAATTTGTGTTTTATCCTCACTCAGTTTCCTCATCTGTAAAATTGAGCTGGAGAAGGAAATGGCAAACCACTTCCAGTATCTTTGTCATGAAAACCTGAAATGGGGTCACAAAGACAGACACAACTGAAATAATTGAACAACACCAAAAGAACATAGGATTACAAAGGAAAATTATTATATTTAAATACAGATACCAAAATATTTTTAAAAAAAGCAAGTTCACAAACTTCAGGTTAAGAACCTGTGCTCTAGCCAATCTGATCTACTCATCATCCCCCAATACATATTGAGCATTTCCTCCTAGTTCCGAGTCATCACGTTACCTGAAATACTACAAAAATTTCTTTCTTGATCTCCATTCCTCTTTTTTCTCTGCTTCCTCAAATTCATTCTGTAAGCTTATGGACAGATTGATAACTACTTGATTTTCTCTACCTCTCCCTATACTTACAATCCATTGAACCTCCTCTGGCCTCATATTCTTCCTTTCACCATGTCAGTATCACAGTTTACCAGCTCAACTACTTATTGTCTTTTACCTTTGTACCTCTAGCTCCCTTGTTTTAGTGTTGCTAACGACATACTAAACCCAACCCTAAGTCACCAATACCAGATGCTTCTCTTTTCCTAATCCCACACTACTGACGATCATTTGAGGAAGTCACACAAATGTACCAAATGGGTCCACCTACTAATGTATATTATTTGCTCTTACAAATGCCCAACAATCATTTCATTCTTCCCTAATGAACACTCTCTGGCAAGGCTGTTCCAAACCTTCATTTCTGTCCTTGAGCCCCCTAGAGCACCCACTCCTACCTTCCCCTCAGCATAACGACTGAGAAGTTGAGATCATCCCTTCGAAATCAATATTTCTAAAACTGAACTCATCTTCTTCTAAAACCAGTTCCCCTTCCACACCTCTCCATCTCTCTTAACACCACCATCATTTTCTGGGTTACCCAGGCTTGAATCTCAGGATCACTTTCAATTCCTCTCTTGCCCCTCATCTAGTCACCAAGCCCTGCCAATTTGTCTCTTGCTGCTTTTTATCCATCTCTTCCCTTTTAATTTCCATTGGTTATCCCCTAGTCCTGAGTCATCACGTTATCTGAACTACTACAAAAACTTCTTTTTTGATCTTCATTCCTCTTTTTTCTCTGCTTCCTCAAATTCATTCTGTAAGCTTGTGGCCAGATTGATATCTACTTTAACCGTCACTCTTCAAAATCCTTCAATAGCTCCCCATCATCTATACAAAAAACAATCCAAATTCCACTGACTAATATTAAAGGTGTAATTTAAGCTCAGACTATCCCTCCAAACATATGGTCAACTATTCCCTTTTCTCTAGTCCAGAGGTTCTCAACTCTTTTTTGTGTGAGGGACCCATTGGACATTGTGGTGAAGCTTATGGACACTTCTCAGAATAATATTTTTAAATACCTAAAATAAAAGAACATGAGGGCAGCTAGGTGCTGGGCCTGAAGTCAGGAAGACTCATGTTCCTGAGTTTAAATCTGTTCTCAGACACTTCCTGTTTGTATGACCCTGGGCAAGTCACCTAACCCTGTTTGTCTCAGTGTCCTCATCTGTAAAATGAGCTGGAGAAGGAAATGACAAACCATTCCACTATCTTTGCCATGAAAACCTCAAATGGGGTCACAAAGACAGACACAACTGAAATAATTGAACAATACCAAAAAAAATAGGATTACAAAGGAAAATGATTATATTTAAATACAGATACCAAAATATTAAAAAAAATTAGAAAACAAGTTCACAAACCTCAGGTTAAGAGCCTGTGCTCTAACCAATCTGATCTACTCATCATCCCCCAGTACACATTAAGCATTTCCCCCTATGTGCCTGTGGTCATGCTATTTCCCCTCTCTTTTCCTTTTGTACAAATCATAGTGATTTCAAGGATAAGCTCAAGACCTCTTTCCCTCCATGAAACCTTTCCCATTACCTTGTTCAGACAGTGACAGTCTCATTTACTCAGTATTTATTCAGTGTCAGCTATTTACAAAACAGTTTGCTAGGTCATAGACTTTTTCTCTGCTCTAAAACTCTTTTGTCACTTATTGTTGGTACCACTCCCGGGGCTTATCACGTGCTTCCTTGTGGCATTCTCTTTTTCTGTGTATCTCTTGTCTCCATAGTGATGCTAAAGGCTTGTTGAAAACAGGGATCACCTCCTAAGCCTCTTGTATTTCCCTTTCACAAGTAGGGATCCAATAAAAGTTTGTTGATTAATGTGATAGTCATCATGGCCCCTGACCATATGGATCAACCATTCCGTCAATGATTTGTTCTTTCTCTTTGATGTTAAGTGACGTGCATAGGGAGCAGTGACAGGAGCTTCCTTCTGCTTGAATCTGTTGATAGTAACTAAGTTACACCAACTGTTTGTCAATCTAGAGCTCATCTGTACTCATTTGGCAGAATTTGTGAAGGGATTTTCTGTCCTATGATATGGGATCAACACCCTGGGTCCCTTGGATCTGGTGGTCCAGATGTTGCTTTATCTTGCCAGAACCCACACCCCCATGTCACTTCCCCAGCTTCTCCAGCCATATCTCCTCTACTTCAACCATCACTTTCCCCTCCTCCCTCTCTGTAACCTGGACTTGACCCCAGGTGTGTCTCAGTTTTGATAGGTCAGTTTTTTTCCTTAACTCAATGAGGTCCAGTACTGTGAGGCCCACTACTTTGCTCCCTGTTAGGCTGCAGCTCCTGCAGGCCCCGACCCTTTTTAGCTCACTCTTATGTGCTTTTCTTAGGTCTTCTCACATTAGAATATGAGCTCCTTGAAGAAAGGAACTGTCTTGTTTAGTATAGAACCTGGGTCCTAGTAAACACTTAATAGATGCTTTATTAATTTATTAACTGTTTATTGTAATACAACTAAACTTATATTAGACATGTATTGTCAGTGAGTTGTGATGAATACTGACACTCAGTTACTGATTTTATCATGGCATCAATGGGGTTTCTTTACTTTGGACATAGAGTTTTAGGGCATTGCATTATTCAGGCTGATACAGAACTTGTAGTTGAATATGGGCACTATTTATTCATCTGCATACCCTATGTTAGTGCCTTTTTAAGGTAAAGTGATTCTTGGATTTGGAAGACTTGCATTACCCTCTATTCAGCTGAAAACATCTTTCAGGGGAACAAAGGAAAAAAATCCCACCTTTTGCAAGCCTTTCCTGATCCTTTTTTCTCTCTAAGATTATTTCCAATTTATCCTGTATATATCTTATTAATATACAATTGCTTGGATGTTGTCTTTCCTATTACAATGTGAGGTCCTGGAGATCAGTTGCTCTTTTTTGCATTTCTTATGTATCCACAGTTCTTAGCACAGTGCCTGGCACATAGTAGGCAGTTACATGGGGCAAAGGATAGAATGCTCCTGGAATCAGGAAGACCTGAGTTGAAATACAATCTTAGTCATATACTAACTGTATGATCTTGGACAAGTCACTTAACTTCTGTTTGTCTCAGTTTCCTCAATTGTAAAGTGGGGAGAATAATAGCATTTACCTCCCAGGGTTTTTGGACGGATCAAATCGGATAATACTTGTAAAGCACTTAGCATAGTACCTGGCGTAAGTAGGTGCTATATAAATGTTTGCTATTGTTATTATTGTTGTTATTTTTATTTTATTATTTTATGTTACTGTCATCATATTATTGCATTACATTGATATATTATAATTAATGACATAATATAATAATTACTTATATTATGATACTGTAATATTACAATGATATAAAAATAATTTTAAAAAAGTTGTTGACAACCTATTATGGAGTTCATCTAAATTTGCTGTCACAGACACATAAACTAAGCAATAAAATGTAGATTTATTATATTTTTGTTAAATCATAATCAAAACATTTTTAGACTGATCAGGAAATATATGTTTGTGTATAAATATATGCATATATATGTATACATATGTATATTTAAAAAGAGAGAGAGAGAGTAAAGCTTTAATTAAATCTTTGCTATGCAACGGGCACTGTGCTATGTGCTGGAGATACAAATACAAAGATAATAATCCCTGCCCTCAAGGACCTTACATTCTAACAGGGATGATAACATGTAAAAGGGAGGTGAAAGGTGAAAGTCTGAGGTGGGGAAAGTATAACTGCAGTAGATTCTGAAGGTTTAGTTACTTGAATAATTATACTTCAATTTACTACAAGACTACATTTAGAATTCATCCTGTGTATGAGATCACTTTAATACAGGAAAACACTTTAGATCTTGTCATTAAGAAACAAAATCCTATTTGTGGAATTGGTTAGTATAAGGTAGACCCTTATTTTATTTAGGATATTGCCCTATAAAAGGTGGCATCACAAGATGTCCTAGTGTACTACTATCTGACATTAAAAGATTCTATTCTGAAACATTGCTTAAATACGTAGTATCTTGGCAAGTATATCTCAGGATAGGACTGAGTTGCCAAGTTTGAGCTACAGAGAAAACAATAGTTTACATATAAAACGTAACAGTGAAAAGTTTTTTTTTTAAGCTATCAGAATTTTATAGGTGTAAGGAAATTATATGATGTTTAAAGGATTGAGGATAGAAAAGAAATCTGATCACTGAGGAAATCTCTATTGGCTAGTCAGAAAAGTGCTATTTTCCACTGGCAGCATAGCTACTGATCTTATTAAGAGCCACAAAATAACTGTGCTTACCCAATGGCTTGACGTTCCAGCAACCTCTGGACTGGTATGGTTAGTTTCCCAAGAAAACGCTTGATGATAGGACGACTCTTGGCAAATTTGTCTTTAATTTCAATTTCTAAGACATCAGTAAGAAGTGCAAAAAAAGAATATTTCTATAAAGGAAAAAGGGATAACATTAATTTGTCTCTAAAATAAATCTCAAATACATTGGATTTTGATAGAAAACACTATTCTTCCAAGGTTTTATCCTGTCTCCTATTTTCTTCTATAGATATACTCTTTCCTTTAGTGATCTCATTAGATCTTGTGGGTTCAATTACTGTCTCTAAGCAGATGATTCCCAGATCTATATATCCAGCCCAAATCTCTCTCCTCAAGTCTAGTCCTACATTATCACCGGCTTCCTGAATTTTTTCATCTGGATATCTCATCAGTATCTCAAACTCAATGTGTCTAAATTGAACTCATTATTATGTGTACCCCAAACCATCTCTCCTCTAATCTTCCTTCTCTGTTAAGAGTACTATCATCCTTTCCATCAAGCAGGTTGATAACAATATCAGTATCCACTCCTTTCTAGTTTACCTCCCTCATTTTACAAATGAGCAAACTGAGGCCCAGAAGTTCAGTGAGTTGCCCAAGGTCTCATGGGTTTTAAGTGACAAGAGGGGATATTTGAATCCAGGTCTTCTGATTCCAAAGACAGAGGGGCCTTCCCACTGGACTATTGAACCACACTGACTTTTAGTGATTTAAAAATATTTTAAATTAATATCAGAATGGAAACATTGCATGAACGAAATACTACGGTTTTCACTAAAACTACACTTCATTGAAACTCCATATTTAAACTGAAGAAATTGGGGAGAGGATCTCTATCACCCTGAATAAAATTCAATGTAGTTGAAGATCATTTGATCTTTATAAGTACTTCCATAAATTACTTTCAACCAGCATCATTTTCATATAGAAACGCACGGGATTCTTTTGATTTCCGTAACCACAGGAGAATACTCAATGGAAATATCACACAAAGCTGACTCCTCAATTAATGTTTTCTCCTGACTGCCAGTGTTTCTGTTTTGTTCCTTCCAGGGTATAAATGTTGTTATTGCTATTTAAACATGCACTATATCAGGTATAATTTAACTGATAAACTAAAAACAGGATTCATATAAAAAGAAATAATATATAACTTACCCAGGATCACTTTGAAGGAGGGTAACAAAACTCAGGGACATTTCTAATATTGTCTCATTTCAGCCCTCTAAACCAGTCACTTATGTGTTCTTCTTCTTATTATAGGTAGCAGTAATGGGAAAAACCTGATCTTTAATTTGATCCAGTCAGCTCACAGTAAGACCATACTGCAGAATGTTGCAGTTCTAAAGAATTAGTAATTCTGTCCATGTCAATATGTCTACCCTGAAGTTGAACACTCACTTAATGATCCTTCATCAAGTCAATTGTATTTCTCTAATTAATTGAAATCTGCAGCTTACAGGAATCCACAAATCCATTAGCCAAAACCCAAGGGGGAGAGAAATCTCTTTAGCTTAGTATCATCTATATACTAGAATTCAGTGTTCCCTCATGTCCTCTCTTACATAGCCCCTGGAAACCACACATCCTCGACAATCTAAACTAGCTCCCAGAAGTAAACCACAGTGGGAAGCATTCAAAAGAAGGAAGGAATAAGATGCCAACTTGGCAAACTACTGAGCTATCAAGCATGAGAGACTTAAAAAGCATACATTATTACCTCTCTGTGCCAAATTGGATTAGTTGTGTTACTGATGATGGTAGACCTTCGTTCTTGCCCATGATGGGCAAACGTAGGAAAACTGCTCTTCTTTCCTGGCTGAATTGACATCTTAAGGTAAGGATCAGGATTAAAGAACATTCCTTTCTTTAGCCCAACTGCCCTAAGATCTTAAAAAATAAAAGAAAAATATACATTAATATATTATCATTAAAACAAGCAACTCAATGCTATCAAGCTATCACTCAAGATAGCTTCCTTGAAATTGCTTAGTGAACTTATGTAAAATTCATTATACTAAGATCGATGAGATGGTTGGTATAGGAGTTGTATAAGGCATCAATTCATTCAGAGGGTTCTCCTAACAGGATACACAGAGGAAGCAATGAATGGCGGTTTGGGGGAAGATCTAGCATGTCTGGCCTTTAGTTGAAACTTCCTGCGTCACAGGCTAGGAATGCTTTTGATTCACGAATGAATGCCTGCATCATTACTTTCCAGGACAATCTTGTTTTGATCTCAGACATTTAATAGATTACTTTGGGAGAAATTCTTAATAAATAAACTATCACAAAAAAGACAATCACCTCATTCTGTTGCAACACCAAATAGAAAAAAGAATCATTCATGTACTTAGAGCAGGTATAAATTGGGTTCTGTTTGGGATGAATAAGTAGTATTGTCAAAGCAGTAGAGTAATAACATTATCCTGAAACTTTGGAAACTTTTATCAATGCCTTAGAATGAAGAAAAACCATAAACATACTTTCATTTGTACCATATATTAAATTACGTATCACTCTCCCAAATAAAAAGGAATTTAGAGCATGGGGTGGTGAGTTATATTTCTAAATTATTCAAATAAAATATCTAATATCCTAAGTAACTGAGAGATCATGTGATGAATGCTCTATAAAGTATAGAATCTAGTACATACCATTAATTTTACACTTTATTCATTGAGACTTTTTTCCATATGTCACTTTAGATTTCCTGATCCTTCCTTCATCCACTGTAGCTGGTAAAAATATAGTGCCTTAATAGTGCAAACACATTCACAAGACCACTCTACGCTAAAAAAAGTGTTCATTCCCAAGAGGCACTCTTGGAATTTAAGGTCAGATCATATGAGTCAAAGGGGCAGCTAGGTTGCATAGAGTTCTGGACCTGGAGTCAGGAAGACTCATCTTCCTGAGTTTGAATCTGGCCTCAGACACTTACTAGCTGTGTGACACTGGACAAGTCACTTGACCTTGTGTGCCTCAGTTTCCTCATCTGTAAAATGAGTTAGAGAAGGAAATGGCAAATCACTTCAGTATCTTTGCCAAACAAAACCTCCAATGAGGTCACAGAGAGTTGGACACAACTGAAAAAAATGACTGAACCACAACAATATGAGTCACATGTACCTGTTCTAACACTATCCCAAAACATGTGCCATGGTCCCAGGCTGGCAAAGTGATTGATACAATGGAACCATTGCCAGACATGGAGTCATTGGCCCTCAGGTTCAAATCCTAGCTCTATTACATACTGGCTTGTGACCTTGGGCAAGTCAGTGAACCTGGGTATGTCATTGATAAAATGAGGTTTTGGACCAGATCATCACTAAGGTCTCTTCTAACTCTAAATCTGTCATCCTGTGATTCTATGAACTCTAGGGCTTCTGAACATTTATATTCACTCTGGAATTCTCCTATGGTTTCGATCAGTTTAAGGAGGTTTTAAGTAACATAATCCAGATCAGATTTCCTAGGATGGTCCCAAAAGCACATACATATAGACTTGCAATAGGGTGACCTTAGTGACTTACTGATCCTGAGCCAATCTTGGGGGTTGGAAAGTCTATAACAGGGATTCTTAATCTGGGATCTTTGAACTTAAAAAATATTTTGATTACTACATTTCAATAAAATTAGTTTCCTATGTGATCCTATGTATTTTAATAGCATCATACCCGGTTGTTCTAAGAAGAGGTACATTGGCTTCATTAGACTACCTAAAGGGGTCCATGACACAAAAAGGTTAAGAACCAATGGACTAGAGTTTCTCTAAGTAAGTCCAAGTCAGGAAGTGAGCAGATTCTGAATTCTATAAGGTCACCAAGGTCACACTGTTGCAAATACAGCTTTTTAAAAAAACCCTGTACTGTGATTTGGTAAGTGAGATGCTCTCTCTGCCAATAAAGATGGACACCTTCAGGTTTTACAGAGGTGTTCAGAGTGATGGGAGGGGATGTGACTTTTCCAGGGCCACGGAGTCAGTATGTGGAAGAGATGAAACCTGAACCCACTTCTTACTGACTTCAAAGCTGGTTAACTTTCTGCTAGCCCTGGAATTGGGCTTGTACACTTGCTTTACATAAGTCAAAAACATGCAGTGCTCCTATGGTCCAGAGATGCACAAGTATACACTTAAAATTGGCATATAGCAAGAAAGGCTAGTGCCATTCCCCCATTGCAGGGCAGCAGGGAAGGATTAGGATATGTCACAAAATGTTTAAAAAATTATCTGAAATGCCTCTAAGCCAAGGATGAAAACACTAAAGACAGGAAGAATCTTTGATCTGAAAAGGCATCCAAAGTGGTTAAAGGCAGATAAAGAACCAGCCAGATGCTTCAAAGGAGCTACTGTAATAACTCATTAGTATCATATTCCCCAATCCTGGCATTTCATGAACAGTGTGCTCATTACGAACGTCACATTAGCATTTTACTGTCTGTGTCATGATTCCATAGTATTTCAGTTGACTTTATTTGGCATAACATACCTTTGAGAGAAAAATGTGTTTTTTCCACATTTTTATATATGCGTTTCTTAATTATTATGCTCATTTAACTTATAGGATTGTAGATCCAGAGTTGTAAGAGATCTTAGAGATTGGCTAGTCTAACATCCTAATTTTACAGAAAAGAAAACTGAGGCCCAATGAAGTTATTTGCCCAAGGTCATAAATGTAGTGGCAAGGCTGGAATTCAAACTCAAGCCTTGTACTCTTTCCAGGTGGCAGAATCCATTTCTCTACATAGTGAATCCAAACAACCAGATTGATCAGCAGCAAATGAAGAGTGACATGGGTATAAATAGCGATATAAACCACCAAACCATATGGTTGATTTTGTTCCTTTTTGGTCCACACCTGGGATTCTATAGTGTAGAGTGTTCCTTCTCCCTATGCAGATTAGCACCTGCTCAATGACTTATAGTTTCCAAGGGCACTGAGAAATTAAGTGACTTGCCCAGGATCACACAGTCAGTATGCGTCAGAATTGAACTTCTTCCTGTCTCCAAGGCCAGCTCTCTGTACACTATCTTATGCTATGCTGCCCCAATCCCACCCCCATACCTAAGTGCTGCTCTGGGGCCCTTTGTTCACCCCATCTTTGATATGACTTCTCCTTTATCATTCAAATAACCAACACAGATGGGCCAGAGGATACTTTCAAATCAACACTGTTATTTTCAGAACAATAAAACCTTGGAAATGGGATTTTAAAAATTATCTAGTACTTCCAGTTCATTTTATAGATGAAAACATTAAAGGTTAGAGAAGTAAAATGATTTCCTCAAGATAAGATAATCAATTAAGAGTACCAGAATTTGAAGCCAGATCTTCTGATTCCAATTTCAGTGCTCTCTAAACTATAGTATAAAACTATTAACCAAAGAATGGTTTCAATATTCATTGTGAATTTTCATTTATTCATGCCCCACATTCAACCACAGAAACTTAACAATGGAACATTTATGATCACAGGCTTACTTCTATAGTTACTCACATGTTTTCCAGGATAAAAGTATTTATTTCCAGCATATAAATGTTAGAGCCATATTAACTTTATATAATAAAATACAGTACTTCTTACAATTTTTATCTACTAAGATTCTCACATATTTACTTATTATCTACAAATGTTTAACTCCAAGGTAGTTAGAGTAAGTTTGAAGGCAAGACAAGGCAAAAGTGTATTGTAATTTAATTTTAATTATTTGTTTTAAGGCAATAGCAAATTATTATTAATAATAATAGCTAACATTCATATATAGACTACTATATGCCAAGCACTGTGCTTGCTAAGCACTTTACAAGTATTTCTCTCATGTTAATAAGTACCTACTATGTGCTAAACACTATGCTAGGCACTAAGGATATCAAAATAAAAAAAAAACAGTCCTTGCCATCAAGGAGCTTACTTTACCCCAGGAGAAACAACCTATCCACATTTAAGTCCAAGTTAAATGTATATAACATCAAGATAACGGAATGGGTAGGGTGCAATAATAACTGAAGGGGTATCAAGAAAAGTCTCATGCAGCAAGCTTTAGAGTTTCTAAGACACAGAAGTGAGGAGGAAGAACAGGACAAACATGTGAAAATAAATGGATATGGTAGATGGCATGTGCTGTATGAAGAATAAAGAGACCAGTTTGGCTAGACTGTAGAATGTATGAAAAGAAAGACAGGAAACAAGCATTCATTAAGTGCCTACCATTAAGCTCTGTGTTCATGTTTTACAAACATCTCATTTTATTCGCACAACAACCCTGGGAGTTAGGTACTATTATTATTATTCCTATTTTACAAATGAGGAAACTGAGGCAGACAAGGATTAAGCGACTTGCCCAGGATCACAGAGCTGTTTCTATATACAATGTTCTCGTGGTTCTGCTCAATCCATTTGGTGTCAGTTCATATAAGTTTTCACAGGTTTTTCTGAAACTATCCCTTTTGTCATTTTTTTTTATGAGTTAACTCTTTTCAATGTAGTGCACGACCATATTAGCATTTTACTGCTCATTCATATTGAGCTTGTAGTCTTTTTAAATATCTGGATCTTTTTTGGAATTGCTGAGTATCCATGACTCCCCCATCTTAGATTTTTACCCAAATGTAAGACTTTCCATGTAACTCTATTGAATTTCATCTTATTAGAATCAACCTAATGTTCCAGCTTGGCAATATTCTTTTGGATCTTATACTCAAATTGTATTACATACTCAATGGTTTAGATGCCCTCTGCAATGACAGCAGTCACAACCATTAATACCTGATCATCCTGTGATACTCCTGTCCATGTCATACCTACCACAAGTTTGTGAAGAGGGTCAACCCAACACACTGGAGACCTTCCTACCTTTCCTGTAACATTATAAGGGTACCAGTGGAGAACCCTGGCCATCTTACTAGCATTGGTTGCCCTCACCACATGACCAATCCATCTTCTCTTCCTTTCATATATTTCTCTGATGAAATTTTATTTCTTTTTAAAAGTTTATTATTGATAATGATAATAATATCTACTGTTTATATAGCACCGTAAGGTTTGCAAAGTGTCGTATGTGTTATCTCATTTGGTCATCACAATAAACCTGTGAGGTGGGTATTATTAGTATCCCCATTTTAGAGATGAAGAGACTGAGATTGAGAGAGGTTAAATGACTTGCCAAGGGTCACACAGCTCCTTAGTGGCTGAGGCAGGAATCAAACTCAGGTCTTCTCAATACCAAGTCCAACACAATCCACTACGCCTTGCTGCTTTTTTTTTCTGTTTCATAACTCTATTTCTGGTTATATGTTGTTTCTCCATCATATTCTCCATGTACTAGTCATTTTGGTACTTTGGAAAGTGCTGTTTTTCAACTCATGCTGAATATTATAAACAATTTAATTAGAGAAAAAAAAATGGACCTGTATTTTGGAGCTTATTTCCTATTTTTAGTAAAATGGCCTAGAATCCTTAGGTTCCAGATGGTCATTCCCCAGGGATGAGTTAATAATGATTCAATATAAAAATTCTACATTTGCATCTGCATTTTTATGATCCATGAAACAAATATGTAAGTTAATACGGTTACCTGGCCAAAGTAGCATTTTTATTGTCTTCCAGCAATAACCAACAACAATTTAAAACTAAAAAACATATAATGTAAGGGGTAGTTAGGTGACACAGTGGATAGAGCAATGGCCCTGGAGTCAGGAGGACCTGAGTTCAAAACTAGCCTCAGACACATAACACTCACTAGTTATGTGACTCTGGGCAAGTCACTTAACCCCAACTGCCTCCAACCACCCCCCCCAAAATATGATGTGCTCAAAGCTTGTACTTTGTTGGGTGTCCAGTATTAGGTAACACTCTTATGGGCACCAGGTCTCAAATTTCTCTGTTTACGAATAAACATCTTGTAGAAAGAGTAAGAGGACCAGGAAAAAAAGATAAGGAAGCTAAAATTATAGTGATCTATGTAGTTCAGGATCAGGCTAACCTAATCTGGACAGAACATCCCTAGTCCAAGTTATACTAGAAGTTTATACATGTGAAGGCAATTCATTTCTCAAAACTTCCTCAGGACTATTGGGGTGAGGGGAGCAGGTCAAAGAGAGGGAAAAATAATAACTGCTTAATAGTAATATACTGTGGGAGAAACCTCAGGCTCTGTTCATAACTACCACTTTGCTTGTTTTCTGGGTAAAAAGGAGAGAAGAAAGGCACAGGTCTTGTGTTTCCCCAACAATACTTTTGGAACTTAAGGACCTCTGAAATCAGAATGATCAACCAATTTCCTTGTTCTTAGCCAGTAAATCTGGGCTTCCCGGAATAAGACCAAGAAACTCTGGAATCATGAGAGAAACCAAGTTACACAATGGCTTTCCTATTAAACAGTTTCACATTAAAGGAAGGTAAGGGAGGAAAAAACAAACTCAGAAGATTATGCACCACCAATGAATTCATATATATCTTCTGTATATGTGCCGTAAGTAATGGAGACATATTAGTAATAGAAATATAATAGGATTTAGACCTTGAAAGTACCTTAAAGATCATTAATGCAGCCCCCTAATAGTATAGAAGAAATTGAAGCCTACAGAGGGAACAGGATTTTGCCAAAGTCTTAGGGGTAGTAGCAGAGGTGGTGATTCAAACTCAAGTCCCTCTGACTTCACATCTACTGTCCTCATTATTAAAAGATGTTGCTTTTAAGTGCTTTCATTTTTGTCTTCTTATCACTGAAAACTCTAACATTGTTCCACACGTTAATAACTCTATTGGCAGAGTGTTGACGCACATTCATGGTCCAGACTAGCATGTCTGAGGCTAGTGGATTGCCTGAGCTCAGGAATTCTGAGCTTCAGTGAAGTTAAAATGGATCAGGTATCTGCATTAAGTCTGGCACCAATACAGTACGCCCCTGGGAACAGAGGGTCACCAGACTGCCTAAGGAGAGGTGAACTAGCCCAGGGCAGAAAAACAGGGTTTGTCAGTCAGCAGAAGGATCGGAGCCTTGAGTGTCTACATTTCCAGCCTGTGTCCGATAGGGAAAGCCAGTCTCAAAAAAAATGTTTACACACACACGCATATACATGCATATGTATATATGTGGGCACGTACATGTGAATTGTGTCTGGTCTTTCAAGAACTAGCATAATTTTTCCCTGTTTGGCTAATATAATCTATTCTTTTTTTCACCTGAAAAGCTGAAAAATTCTATGACTATCAAATGTGTCACTTGGGAAGAAAAGCAAATGGATGTGATTTAAGCCTCAGAAACACAACACCTCCATGAGAACAAGAACAGAGAGTTTTATAGTGACAGACAGCTGTTGGGCTTTATTTTACACAAATTCCTTATTTCACAGATGTTGGCCAAAAAAAGCTCATCAAAAAGAAAGAAAGAGAGAAAGAAAGCTGGCTTTTCTGAGAGTTTGCTTGATTTTGTCATTCGGGACATTTCTCTTAGTTCTATGGCAAATACACAACTCATTACACCTTTCTTAATAACAGAACATTTCAGCTATTTTCCAACCTATTATGGATATTCTCCCATTGCCGTCAGAGAATATTTCTTTTTCTTGTGCCCATACAATCTATTTTCCTTCCTTGAATACAAATAGATAAGTATAGGTTATTTTCAACATGTAACAGAATTCTAATTAGATTGTCACACACTGCATTCTAGTTTATTCTTTTTGTATGTCTGAGTTTTTAAATGAGAAGCTTAAAGAAGTAACTTCTACAATAGCAAGCATTAGCTAACTTGCCTGGTAGTTAAATTACTATTGAGTTTTATAAATAATCAACTTATAACTCAATGAGAAATGCTTCTAGAAAACCTAAAGATATAAGAAATCTGACGTGTATGTGTGTAGGTGGGGGGGCAGCATGTATCTGTGTCTTTACAACATATAAATAATTTATAAGGCTGTAAAAATCACTTACCTGACAAGGTAAAACTGACTAATTTCCGACAATGTTGATTTCCTGAAGCACCTCCTTCCATGCCTTCTGCCCCCATCTAAAGAGAAAACCATTGAATGCATCAGAGATGATGTCACAGCAGCAGCAGTGATTCTATCTCCCAACCTGCTTTGGAGGATCAGTTACATAGGTAGCATGATCAATGCTGATTTACAAACACTGAATAAACCAACAATTCTTGTCTTTCCCAAGCATGGATAGTTTCACAAAGGCAGCATTAGGGAATAGAGAGCAAACTTTGCAAGCTTTATTAGGATTGGACAAAGTTATGCTCCTAAGCCTCAATAATAATGATAATAATAATAATAGTTAACATTTATATAGTACTTACTATGTGCCAGGTACTGTGCTGAGCACTTTACAATTATTATCTCATTTGATCCTCACAACAATCCTGGGAGGTAGGTGGTATTACTATCCCCATTTCCCAGTTGAGGAAAATGAGGTAGATAGATGTTAAGTAACTTGTTTAGAGTCACACAGCTAGGAAATATCTGAGACCAGATTTGAACTCGGGTCTTCCTGACTCCAGGCCTGAGGTTCTATCCACTGCACCATCCAGCTATCTCCAACACAGCTGGACACCTCTAGAGTAAAGAGGCTAGAGATATACCCATTTTATGAACACAAATCAGCTTCCTCAAAGTCCTGGTTTTTCAGTTGTTTTGTGAGATAAGCATCAAAGATCTTTAGTACATATAAATACATTAGTCTATTACACCAAATAGACTTACTGGGGAAAGCTAAAATCGCCATTGCCAAATATTGCTGAGCACCCACTCTGTGCTGCTATTCCCCTCATTGAAAGCAGGGAGACATTCAGTGGTATACTTGAGCCAGCTGAACCGGCTTCTGAGAGCTGACTGTTAAATTTTCACTGTGAGCATTTACACTTTGGAAATTGGCTACAAATCAGGGTTTGATTTATTGTTTTGTTGATTGCCTAAACTTAAGAAAGTGATGGAAAAAATGTTAAGAATGCAGATTAAACCTAAAAGTGTTTTGTGTATAATTCCTTCCTCCATCCCCCCCTCACAGAACTGGTTGTTAAACATCTACCAGCACACCTCTGATCCCAATTTCCTTAAAAATAGTAGCTTGAGCAGGCTGTTCCTACTGTTAATATTAACTTACATTTGGCCATCTGCTCTTTACTTGTTATAAAGTATTTTCATATCAAAAACGATACCAGCAGCTGACTTTTATATAGCGCCTTATGGTTTGCAAAGCATTTTAAATGCATGATTTCATTTGATGAAATGAGATTCTAATAATAATAATAATAATAATAATAATATCTGACATTTATACAGTGCTTTTCAGGTGTGCATGGTGTTTTACACATATCTCACCTGATCTTCAGAAAAAGCCTATGTGGTACATACTGTTATTATCTCCATTTTACAGACGAGGAATCTGGAACTCACAAAGGTTAAATGCTAAAATCTGCTCCATGGTAGAGGTCTGATGCAAATCCAGGTCTTCCCTACTCCAAAGCCAGACTCTATCCATTCTACCACATGGCCTCTCTAGCCATTAGATCATAAGCTCTTTGAAGTTAGGGATTGTCTTATGCTTCTTTTTGTATCCCCTGCACTTAGCACAGTGCCTGGCACACAGTTGCACTTAATAAATGTTTACTGATTGATTGATTGGTTAGTACACAGATCAGACAAAACCAAGTAATCTTGGAGTGCAAGGGATCTCAGAGGTATAACCTTCACCTAACATGAATCTTCTCTTTAACTTACCAGGCAGGGTGGTTGTCCAGCTTTTGTTGGAAGAGAAATACACTTCTACAAGTAGCCTTTTCTGCTTCCGGATAGCTCTGATTGTTAGTGTGACTTTTTTCCTTAAAACTTCCTCTCTTCAATTTTTACCTATTGATTCTAGTTCTGTCTGGCTAACCCCTTGTTCCTCTGGGGTCAGATGGAACAAGTCTAATATTGCCTTCCATGTAATAGCCCTTTGAATACATTAAGACACCTATTATATCCTCTCTCCAAGGCTTTTTTCCTCTAGTTTAAACATCATTAGTCTCTCATATGCCATATTCTCATAGGCCCTTCTTTACTTGTGGCCATCCCATAGACATTCTCCTTTTTGCCCTTAATTTGCTTCAATTCTCTAGCACACTACAAAAAAAGCACCAATAGGAGTAGGTTTAAGCTTGGGGTAAGGAAAAATTTCCCAACAGTGAGAGCTATCCAGAAGAGAAAAGGAAGGCTTCCTCAGAAAGTAGTGGGTTATCCTTCACTGGAGGTCTTCAAGTGATGGCTAACATTGTTAAGAGGATTCCTCTTCAGGTACAGGTTGAATTAGATGACCTTTGTGGTCCCTTCAAATTCTGTGGTTCTATGAAATATCCCCTAATGACAATCTCCACACAGGACCAATTATCCTACACAGTGCTAATTGGAAGCAATACTTGCAAAATTCATGGCTCAACTTTACTCTCCAAGAGGAAAAGTTGTGAAAGACCTCTCCAAAGTTGAAGAGATGGATATCAGTGGGAACCAACATCTGTACACAATATTTAGGGGAATTTGTCTTTTGTTTGAATAAATTCAGTCTACAGATTAATTCCAGCATAACACGTCAACCAAGGAGAGAAACAATAAGTCACAATGATGGTAGGATTCATCAGCTCCCAAACTCAAAGGATTTCCTGCTCTGCGTATCTGAAATGTTTTCATCATTGAGTGCTCTGATGAATTACAGTGATGTAAAGACATCAATGACAGAGTGGCCTTGACACACCCCAAAAGGGATATGAGAGAGAGGAAACCAATACTGTTAACACTGGGGCTCATTTCCTTCTCTGTCGTGTTTCTCTGCTGATTCCTCAACAGCTTTCTCAATCACTTCTTCCAAGAACATTATTGAGATCTGGTTGTGAAACAACAGTTGTACCACATGGTGTGTGTAAGGTTGAAGCTTGCTTATATCTATGGGAACCCTAAATTTTTAGAGATAGCTGATCAAGATGTTAAAAATAAATTACTTCTATGACCACATATTCCATGTAGCATACTACAGACTCCTCACAGCTCTGCTATTCATACTTTTCCCTTCTGGAGGTACCTAGACACCTATATGGGGGTTTTAGGAGGAAAAAAGTAGCTCCTAAAGGTTTCATACCTTCTCTCCTTCCCCCTTTCCAAAAATTCTCTTGGGCCTTTGGGATTTGGGGGCCGAAGAGAGGAATGGCTGCCCAGGTTTCAAATCTTTTAGGAAATATTATTGGCCTCAATTTCCTCCTTTGTAAGATGATGGAATCTATAACTTTTAAAGACATTTCCAGTTCTATGATCCTATGAACTAGACAGAGACAGACAGAGAGAGGGAAGAAGAGGGAGAGGAAAAGAGAAGAGGGGAGAGGGAGAGGGAAGGGGGAAAAGAAAGAGGAGAGGGAGGAAAGAGGGGAGAGAGAGGGAGGAAAGAGGGGAGAGAGAGGGAGGGTAAGGGAGAAAGGGAGAGAGGGAGAGGGGGGAGGGAGGGAGAGAGGGAGAGAGGGAGCTCTATATAACCTTCATCAGAACACATTAATCACCCAAATTCATTATCTGATCTATGATCTGAAATGTTCTACATTTTGATTCTAAGTACTATTGTACTGGAGGACTTCTAAACACGGAAATGTAGTGATGGTCTTCATAGCATGTTTGAAGCAGATTAATTACCTCAAAGTTATCCACAGATTGTGACAGAGTGAACTTAATGCAAAATCAATAGAACCAATACAACACTTTTCTTTAGATTGGGAAAATCTGATGCCTTTAGTGACATTTGGAGACTTCAATTACTCCAGACCAAGAAAAGAGAAGCTGGAAAGATTCTAATTAGGTTTGGAAGCTATCAGGTAATTTAAAGAGGTTGCCCTAATTTTTGACTGCATTTATTTTTAGTATTAACTAGAATAAAGGTTATTTCAAAATGTTTACTAACGTGAAGCTTTATTTTGTAGTTAGCAATATCTTAAATTCTTTCTACCATTTACCAAAGCTAACTAAAAACAAACAAAACAAGGGAGTTTTATACCACGTCTATCATGCATAAGAAAGTACTCAGATATAGTGGTGGAGAGTTTTTCAATTCAAGCTTCTCAATAATTATTCATTCTAGAAAAATAAATTTATATTTTCCACAGAGAGTTGCATTTTTTTTTCTCATTTCAGTTATGGAACTTATGCTCTGGGGCATGGTTGCCTTTACTGATGAATGTTCCATGTGGTCTACTGTACCTAGGCTGGCTCCAGCCATGTTTCATTTTACTCCCACCATCTTCCTGTGACCTGCCTTGCCACCGCATTCATATCTTCTGCCATTCTTTCATAATTTTTCCCTACCTTTCCAGTTCTAGAATCTTAATCAAATCAATACTGACATTGCTACTATAAAGTATATGTCAATATGCTTCCTTTATGGTACTTCCTCCTCCCCATTCCTATATTTTCTAAACCAAAAAAACCCTCTCTAGTCACTACTACCTTACATAACAAGGTAGCTAAGAGGTATAATTGAGAATAATGGACTCACAGTCAAGAAGAGCTGAGTGAAAATCCTACTCCAGAGACTTATTAGCTGTGTGACTCTGGGCAAGTCACTTAACTTCTCTCAGCCTCAGATTCCTAATCTGTAAAATTGGAATAAAAGCTCCTCCCTTTACAGGGTCATTGTGAGGATCAAATGAGATCACATATGTAAAAGCACTTTGCAAGTGTTCAAGTGATATACATGTTCAGTTGTTTCAGTCATGTCCAAAAGTCATGACTCTTGGTGACCCGATTTGGGGTTTTCTTGGCAAAGCTACTAGAGTGGTTTGCCATTTCCTTTTCCAGCTCATTTTACAAATGAGAAAATTGAGTGAAACAGGGGTAAGTGACTTGCCAAGGGTCACACTGTAAGTATTTGCAACCATATTTGTACTCAGGAAGTTGAGTCTTCTGATGTCAGGCCCGCCACTCTTTCCACTGCATCACCTAGCTATCACCAAGTGATACATAAATTATCTCCCCCTATTAGAATATAAGTTCCTTGAGGTCAGGAATTGTCCTCCCTTTTGCATTTCTATCCCCAATGCCAAGCATAGTGCTTAACACATAGCGCTTAATAAATGATTTCAATTAATTCTTTCTTCAAGGATGATTGTTACTGAAGACACCCTGGTTAGCTCAAAGTTCTCAATTACACTCACTTTTTAACATTCCAAAGTCAAATTATGTCAGTCCTTACTGATAGTTGTTAAATGTTAAAGTATATGAAAATACTCGAGATTGGCACAGTGTGTGTCTGAGACTAAATGACTAGATTAATGATACTTGGATAGTTTCCAAAGCTCCATAAAAATGTAGACATGAGTAATGAAAACTAGCAAATAACTAAAAATATCTAAGAAAATAGCAAGTACAAGGGATGCTAAGCTATAACTAACTGCTCATTCAGGAATTGATTATACACTTCAATGATTATCAAGTCCTATTCTTGCAGTCATAGAATATTAGAACTGGAAAGGACCTCAGAAGTCATCCAGTCCATTCTCTTTTTGCAGATAAGAAACTGACCCTCAGAGAGGTCAAAAGACTTTCGCAGTCACTCAGCTCTTCAGGAGGAGAGAGAGAAATAGAACCCAGGTCTCCTGAGTTGTTATTTGCATCTAACTGAATTCTCTGTCCTCTTATTTCTCCTGGCTGCTGCCCAACTATTGACTCTTGTATGACTGTTTAGCTGGAGGTTTGGATTGATTATCCAGTTTTTGGTAATTTACCTGCCTAGATGCTTTGTCTTCAGGACTGGATAACCATTTCTTCAAAGAGCTAGAGAGAAGAAAGAGATTGCTTGGCCACACTGGAGCCTCGGAAAGAGCCCAGGTGACATCAAACCAGGAATGTCAAGGAAAATACAACCCTCAACTTCTTTCATGTTGATCTGAATTTTTTTTCCCTCTTTGCCCAGATCCTAAAGCATTAGCCAGTTTCTAAAGTGAGGAAGAAATTGAGGGTGACCTCTTCAGAACCATCACCAGAGAGCATCTGTGTACCAACTCAAACTGCCAACACCTTTAATCCTTGTCAGTCAGGTGACAGAAATGTTTCATGATGGTTTCTACAGCTAATAAAACTGGAAAAAAAATAATTTGATGGTTTCTACAGTTAATAAAACTGAAAAAAAATTAATTTCCCTTCTATACTAGATAGTATAGAAGAAGAAGAAGCCCTTTTCCCATTTCTTTCTTGTGAACTTCTGAATTTAAAAAGAGGAGACAAAATACCAAAAACTAAAATATTTTGTTTTTATTATAAAAGGGATATGGGACATTTCACCAAAACTTTATAGAAGCAAGTATACTTTTCCCCCTTTTAAATCAATTTCATCTTTACATGGTAAGGCAACATAGCAGAGTTGAAGATTGGATTTGGAGTCAGAAAGACCTGGGTTCACATCCTGATTCAGATAATTAATTAGATGTATGACCTTGGGCAAGTCACTTATCTTTGTAATTCAGTTTCTCAATTTGTAAAATAAGGAGGCTATACTCGATGGCCCAAGTTCTCTTCCAGTTCTAAATCTATGATCCTTTGGGCATAATAATACTGCTGAGGTAAGAGGCAGGAGATAGCTTGTATTAGGGCTAGTCCCTCAAGCTGATTTTCAAGAGACACCTTCAAATATGGAGAGATTTCTTTCTGAACCTAGGCTGGGACAGTCTAATCCTCTGAAGATACACTGATTAGTACACAGATTCTTCTCCACAAAGAGCCTAAAAAAATCACACACGATTGTCGATATCTTAGTCCAGGAGAGTCAATATTTTTCACTCTTTTGTAATGACTAGATTTTCTAAAACTTTGCACAACAAAAGTTGAACTTCATTTCATTCAATAAGTATATTGATTTGATGCCCATCAATTAGGGAATGGCTGAACAAATTGTGGTATATGATTGTGATGGAATACTACTGTGCTATAAGAAATGATAAGCTCGATGATCTTAGAAAAGCATGGATAGACTTGCATGAAATAATGAAGAGCAAAATGAGCAGAAACAAGAGAATGTTGTATATGGTAACAGCAATATTGTTTTAAGAACAATTTTGAGTGACTAAGTCATTTTGACTTTCATAAATATGCAAATTAACTAAAAAGAACATATGAAGGAAGATGCTATCTACATCCAGGGAAAGAACTAATGAACAGAAGTAAGTATAGAACAGTTTTACATATCCATACATATTTGTGTCTAATGGTAGCCATCTCTAGGGTGGGAGGGGAGGAAGGAAGAAAAAAGTTAAGAAAAGAAAATTACATGATAACTTTATTACATTTTTAAAAAGAATAGCAAACTGTATATAATAGATTTGCAGTTTCACATACAATCATCTTTTTTCCTATTCTACTATGTTATGGAATTGATTGTTTTATTTCTTAAGTTCAGAATAAAATAAATAAAATTTTTAAAAATAAAAAAATAAGTGTACTGAAAAGTTGTATGTAAATACCATGTTTTGTAATGGCATTTTGCTGTTAGCTTATGTTATAATGTTAGAGATACCTTACCTTTGTTCTCCCTTCTTAATTAGTAGTGGCACAAACCACTCTGATTTCCTTGACTGAGAAAGCACTTAGTAGTGTGTAATATGACACTTAAATTCACTGGAGGGCTTCCATTTAAAGGCATCCTACAGTTAATCAGTTTATAAAACTAAGAACTTTTTGTAATGAGAAGAATCACTCTCATTCCTCCTTTTTACTCCTTCAAGAATTTGTTTATTTAAACTGGGGCAATGGCTATGGTTTGTTGTGCTTTCAGCATGGAGGCTCTCCATGTCACACGCACATTACCTGTTCTGTTGTGCACCATTAAGTATGGCAATGTTTCTTTAACAGCAATGGTCACGATGCCTGGCCATGCCTATATCATGGGATATGCGAACTGCACTTACCATCACAGCAGGATTTTTCACAGTAATACATGGGGTAGTAGCTCTCAGGGCTCCACTAATGCCATGGTAGTATTTAAAACATATTTTTATTTCCGCTGTAAAACAAAACAAGAACATAATAAATCACCTAAATAAATAGTAGCATCAAATCACTCTTGAATTAAATATGGATATGAAGCCAAACTGGGGCTCCTATAGTCCTACTCAATTTGAGTTACTATTTCATTTCCAAAAGCCAAATCAGATAGCAACAAATTGTTCTGCTTCCTGTTTCCTTTTATATCTTGACAGCTCCTCTGAAAGTCTGATAAGAATGCTTCACACACCCATGTTGTGTAGAAGGAGATGTATTCAATTTAATCAAACTCAGACAAACCTTACTGAAACTTACTGTATGTAGTTCACTGCAACAGTTGACCACCTCTCTTCCTTTAAGGAGTTTATAATCTAGTTAGACAAATCACTAGTCAGTTCATGCACCTGAGTTTCCTAATCTGTAAACTGAACAGCTTTGTGGAAAGAGCACTAGCTCTACAGTCAGAGACCTGGATTTAAATTTTGCCTTGAAAGTATTTGACCTTGGGCAAGTTATTTAACATTCCCAGGCCTCAATTTTCTCATCTTCTAAAATGATGGGGTTGGTCTAGATGGCTTCTAAGGTCCTTTCTAGTCTGGAACTATAATCCTATGACAAGCTAATCTATTCAAAATCCAGGATCTATGATTACATGGCTAAATACATACATGTGTGTTGTAGAGATAATCTATAAAATGGAATAGAGAAAAAATGTGACAAGCCAGTCAGAAAACCACTGATCATTTGAACAAGAAAGGAAACTGATGAAAACAAATTAGCTCTCCTTTTTAGTTATTAGTGGATTTATTGACATATCTTTGATCTTTTCCAAATTCTTGATATGATTTCCTAATGTCACACTTGAAAATATGGTAGTATTCCTGAAATCACCTAGGCAGAACTCGCTTTTTCTTGCAGGTGCTTGTAATCGTGAGTTATTAAGAATAGCCAGTAAGGGGCAGCTAGGTGGTGCAGTGGATAAAGCACCGGCCCAGGAGTCAGGAGGACCCAAGTTCAAATCTGGCCTCAGATACATAATACTTACTAGCTGTGTGACCGTAGGCAAGTCACTTAACCCCACTGCCTAGCCAAAAAAAAAAAAAAAAAAAAAAAAAAAAAACAAACAAACCAGAAACAAGAATAGCCAGTAAAAACAGTCTAAATAACAAAGTTTGAAAAGCTAAATAACTTTTATAATATGTATTGTTCTAAACCACTAGGTTTTAAAAGTATATAGGATATTCTAATAGTCCATTCAATTGTACATACATATATATTTGTTTTTCCCAAGGCACACTTCCAAGCTAGTCAATAAAGGCATACTTTATGGAAACTCAGTTTTATTAAATGAAAGCTAATAGTGAAACAGGTTTAATTATGCTTATTGAGATTTTTGTGTGATTTTAAAATTGTTTTGAAGCAAACCTACACTTAGTGATTTCTCTCTCATTGTGAAGTAGGATGTTTATTTCAATAAATTTCTTAAGATAGATGGCAATTTCTATTTTTCATGCCCTTTCCTTAAAAATTGGATTCTACTATGCTTGATTATGATTTTCACTTAAAACTTTCAAAAAATTCTTATATTCTTTTATTTTAGGATATTTATGACAGGATTACAACTATGTTATGTTTATTATTACCATGTAGCATCATCTAAAGTTGCCTTAAAAAGGAACTTGATACTTTAAGAATTAAGCTGTCTTTTAAAAGGATTTAGTATATAACAAATTCTCTTCATCACAGCTTAAACAGATAAATAAGCTTTCAGTGGGTCAGTGCTTCCAAAATATGTTTCCAAGCAACTATTTCATTTAAAATACTGTGTCTGATACCATGCAGTTTTAACCTTTCATCAGGAGATTTTAATGAATCAATATTGTTTTGGATGCCTATTAACCTCTAAAAATTAAGGCTTTTTCTAACTATCTTCAATAAATAGAAAAGGATTAAATAAATACAAATGATAATTTCTTTTCTGGGAAAGTGTCCATACTCTGAACAAGATCAAAGGGCATAAATAAAGTGTGATCAAAGGCAGTTACTTCTGTCCTAAGTATTTCTCTTGGGACAATTGCTTCAGAACCACCTATGTATAAATGCTGAATGTTGCTTTTTTGCCAAGATGTCATTTTCTACAGGGAAGCTTATTAAAGGAAAAGAAATAGAGGCTGTAGGGAAGGAAGGCAAGAATTTATTGTCACCAGTGACATGCTCTCTGAACCAAACTTCAGGGGACCATTTATGTAATTTGCTCAAAATACCACAGGCAATAAATGGCAGATCCAAGATTTAAACCTAGGTAGGTCCTCTTACTTGAAAACCAATGCTCTTTCTATTGCATGATGCTGAAAGAACAGTTTAAACCTGAAACTTATATTGCAGAAGCAAGTATTAAGTGCTCTAATAAGTCTGTGTGAATGACAAATTATTAACTAATCATTTTAAATGGTTTTGAAAACAACAAATAGTTCTTAAAGGGCTTAATGAATCAATAGATATCGATGCAGAATACCTTTATTCTGGTTGATCAATACAGGATGAGCTTCTCTCATATAATTTGCCTTTTTGGTGTCATTGTTCAGTTATTTCGGTCATATCTAACTATTCATGACTTCTTTTGGGGTTTCCTTGGCAAAGATATTGGAGTGGTTTGCCATTTCCTTCTCCAGTTCATTTTACAGATGAGGAAACTTAGGCAAACAAGATTAAGTGACTTGCCCAGAGTCACACAGCTAGTAAGTGTCTAAGGCCAGATATGAACTCAGGAAGATGAGTTTTCTTGACTCCAGGCTCCACACTCTCTCCATTGCCCAACCTAGATGCCCATAATTTGGCCTGAAAGGACATTTTACCAAATTTGCAATAATAAATACTCAAGAACAAGGGCATAAACATTTTTTAATGAGAGAACCACACAATAAGAAATGCATGTGTATTCAGGCTACATGGTTTCGGTTTTTGTTTTTTCAATACAAAAATCCTGCTATGTTATGCACTTTAAAAGTCCAGTTTCCCTCTTACAAAAGAAGATAAAGGGGTTATACTAACATCTCTCTGCTCTCTAGGCTATCAGAGAGAATAAAATGTTCTTTTAAGAAAAAAGAACAGAAGAAAAGATTCAGTGGGATAGTAATAAAATGGATCTGAAGGAGAGAGTAAACTTGACCTATGTTAAGAAGGTTGAGGGCTGAAGAAAGTGACAGAGGAAAAGAGGAAAGGACCACAGAACATTTGGAACTAAGGCACAGATATGAGGCTCTTTTGGAATGGGTAGACCTGGAGTAAGGAGGAGAGACTGTCTGAGGAGGGTTTGTTATAGTGGGGATGCCTTACAGGTAGGGAATGGTCAGGATGGTAGTAGAGTCCTTTTCAGTTCTCAATTCTGTGGTTCTATGGCAAGAATATACAAGTGCTGTCACGTAAGTGGTCATCCAGTAAAGGGAAGTTAGAAAAAAAATGAAGAGTAATGGTAGGAACTTCCCCGCTAAGGGATTCAGAAGCAGCTGTTTGTCAATGAACATTTAAAAAGAGAGACTTGCCATTTTCCACAGGCATGTATCCAGGATCAGACAGAGAACCTCCCAATATCTGTCAAACTGATTACTAGGTAGCTAGGTGGTGCAATGGATGCAGTATAGCACTTGGAGTCAGGAAGAGCCGAGTTCAAATCTGGCCTCAGGTACTACTAGTTGTACGACCCTGGGCAAGTGACTTAACCTCTATTTGCCTCAATCCACTGGAGAAGGAAATGGCAAACCACTCCAGGATCCTTGCCAAAAAACATGAACAGTATGGCCCAAAGGGTCGTTAAGAATAAGACACAATAGAACAACAACATCCCTACTGCTGGGACTGTTATTGTTGTTGTTACTGCTGCTGCTGCTGTTGCTGGTACTACTTCTACTATAGAATATATAGAAAGCATTGATTAAGATTATGAATTCTAGGGCAAAAAATTGAAATTTTCATCTCTGCTGCCAACAGACAGCAAGGGCTTCAAACAAAATCATAACTAGGAATTTTTGTATGGGGGCCAAGGATCACAAACCCTGCTGGAGTATGCACCACAGCAGGCATCCTCACGTGAAGGATGTGGGCTGACACCAGCCCTTAGGGAGAGAGAGAACCCTGGGGACCATGAGGTTGCTGATGAAGATGAGGCTACCTACCCCCTGGAGCAGGGGTTCTTCACTGGTTTCTGCGTCCTGGACTTTTGGGGCAGTGTGGTGAAGCCTATGGACCCCTTCTCAGTATAACATTTTTAATGTATAAGATCAAACACAGAGGATTACATAGGAAACCAATTATTTTGAAATATACTTATCAAGTTTTTTTTTAATAGTTCACAGAACCCCTTCTTTATAAGGATAATGATATATAGTACTCCCTATTTAAATGAATCTTAATAACTAGGTTGTTTCCTTCAGCATTCAAGAAACTTGATTATTGGAGAGTACAGTGATTGGTAACCCTTGAAGCAAACAGAAAGATGGTATAGGACAGGAAACTTAAAAGAAAGCTTAAAACCAGCTGTTGGGCCCTCCTAACCACCACTACCACCAACACCACCACAAACTTCTTAAAGATTTAGTCTAACTCCTTTACTCTGTGGAGGAGCTGACTGAGGCTCTAGAGAGGCTAAGTGATTTTGCCATGTTCAGCTATGACTGGAATTGAAGTGGAGTCAGATGGAGCCCAGATATTACATACTCATAGACTGTTAGGGAAGGGACCTTAACACCCAGCTAATTCAACCCGCTCATTTTACAGAGAAGGAAACAGATCTAGAGTTAAACAGCAGAGACTAGAACTCAGTTCTCCCTCTCAGTTCAGTTCTCTCCTCTCTGTTTCAGCCAAGCAGTTGAAATATAGCTTCCTTCAGAGGAATGAATGTCCAGGGTAGCAGTCCTTGGTCTCATGACTCAGGACCATCAGCTTAGGCAAGGAAGAAGGTTCTTTAATTCTTCTAGACATACCCTGACCCCCAAGTTCACCCCCATCACATTCTTCTCATGG